CAAAGTGATTGGGGAATCAGTGTGGGGCTCGTAAATTCCTGCCCCTCCAGGAAGCTCCCAAGTCGCCCCTCCCCACTGGAGCTGCAGCGGGGAGGTTGCAGAGAGAAGGCATGTAGGGGTGACCAGCCAGGGGTGGAAGGAAGCTTGAGAACCTAGCAAGGGAGGGCGTGCCCCCCCCGAATCGAGTGAGGGTCCACTCTCCACCTGTCACCGAGTGGCCAGAGTGACCCTCATCTGCCCTCCTCAGGTCAGGGGCAGGCAGCAGGGCAGGCTTCTCTCCCTGCTTGTTCTGGCTGGTCAGCGGGAGGTACTGAGCTGGGTAGAAGTGGGAGGCTGGTCTACAGCCAGCAGAACACACAGGCACGCACACACATGCACACACACACATAGCTAACAAGCACGCATGCTACACAGTAGTAGCACGCCCACACTGGCACCTGCCTGAGATGAGATTACAAACGCAGGCGCAGAACCCAAGCCGCCTAGGAAAAAGGAGCAAGGGATTTGGAACAGGCAGAAAAGCCGAAATTGGATACTCACTGTGCTGTGCAGCCTTGGGCCTGTTTGCTCAGCCTCTCTGAGCAGTGCCCAGCTCAGCTGCCAGGTCAGCCCTACTTCCCCAGGAGCCTCGAAGGACAGTGTCCCAGGGAACAGTGAAGACACTGGCATCTCATGCCACAGCACCTAGGCTGGGCTCCCTGTACCCGCTTCCTGCTGATGGAGACCCTGGGAAGCAGCAGGGGACCATTCAAGTAGTTGGGCTTCCTGCCACCCAACTGAGAGATCTGGATTGAGACCCAGCTCCGGCCAAACTCAGCCCTGGCTGTTGTGGTCCTGTGGGAAGCGAATCAGCAGATACAAACCTTGTCCCAATGGCTCTTCCGCTCTCTCAAACAAATAAAATGAAAAGATTGTCGGAATCAAATGAGCTAATGTGAGAGAATAGCATATTGAAGGCATCTAAAAGAATTGCTGCACCTCTGCATACGACTACTCCTGTGGTTGCAATGCATGTGTGCACACACACACACACACACACACACACACACACACACACACAACCCCTCTTCTGGCTTCCTCCCCATAGCCTGATTCATCCTCCCAGGCCTTCCCCCATGCCTACAGCCTCTGACCTCCAGAACGGTGCAGCCCAAAGCCCCCTGAAGCCACCCTCAGATCTCCACTTGCTGTCACCTGCCTACAGCAGCCTCCATCAGCCCATCCCACACAATCCCACCTGTTGCGATTTTCACCAATGGCAGTAGAGAGGACACAGCGTCCAGGTGAGGCAGGTCGGTGTGAGGCAGGAGCTGACATCCGGCTGCCGCTGTCCGCCTGCACCCTCTGCGTCACTGGCCTGGGTTATTTCACAGTCCCTGTTATTCTCGGGGTCAGAGATGGAGGCTGGCAACTCCAGCACAGCTCTGCCCAGCTCTGGCTGCCCGCGTGTAGAATGCATGGATCACGCACCCTCTTTAAGTCTCAGTTTGCCCATCTGAGTTATTGAGATTGCCAACCCACCATGGGTATTGCCAGCTTGGGGAGCATCCAGTCCCCTTGGCACTGGGTGGGGCTGAGACAGGCTTTCCGTAACCCCAAGCCTCCTCTGCCCCCACCTCACGTGAACCCCTCTAATGAAACCCCAAAGTCGTGCAAGAGTCCCCTACTCTTCCGGGAGGAAGGGGCTGGGAGAGCCGCCCTGTGCGATTGGCTCCCTCGGCACCTGCTCTAATTAGTATTCCAGGCAGAGCGGAGCCACAGGCCCTGGGATTCGCCAGCCCGCCGGCCAGCTCGGTCTCCCCAGTTCGGAGTGAGTAATTCCGTCCCTCCCAGGCCCATTTAAGGGAGTGAATAATTAGCTACATTCAATTAGGCCTCTTGCTGCTACCGCGGCTCCCGCCTGCCTCACTTGGGGGGACAGGCACACTAATGAGCCGGCACACGCCTGGCGCAGGGGAGGGGCACCACACACCAGCGGCCCGCACCCCGAACCCTCTGCCGGGGCCAGACAGTTTGGAGGGCCAGGGGAGGGCTGGCCGTGTCTGGCTCAGCGGAGTGGGGTGTGCAGGTGACAGAGGGGGAGACACTGGAGAGAGGGAGCAAAGCTGGAGAGAGGCAGGAGACGGAGAGAGAGGATGGAGGAGGGCCCAGAGGGAGCCCACCAAGATGGGAGTCTCACCCGCATCAGAACGCAGCCGTACAATGGAATCCTAGGCAGCAATTAAAACCACACTGCTGATCCATATTTATTGGCATGGAGAGGCGTTAGCAGCCAGGCAGAGGGGGCTGCAGATAAAACAGGGACAAAACAGGGCACAGGGAAGAACTGCCCCCCCCCACTTCTCCCCCAAGGTGAACAGCACCACAGTCTGAGGACCCCCCCCCCACACACACACACACCTTGGCAGGGAAAGGGAGGAGCTTCCGGGTGGTCTCCTTCCCCCAGGTGCAGAGGCAGGACCACGGTCTGACTTTTATAACCCAGGAGAACAGGGATGAGGGGAAGGAGCTGGGACAGGCAAGGAGTGGGTGAGGGAGTCAGGTCAGGCAAGGAGATGGGAGGCAGGGGACCAGAAAAGGGCAGGAAGGAGAAGGGCCCTCTTCCCTTATAAATTAGAACCTCAGTGGGGAGAGCCTTGGGGCAGAGTCTGTAAGGGCTTGTGCCCCCCAGGAACCTCTCCTGGGTTGCAGCCCTGGGATGGGTATGGCCCAGGAGAGCAGCCCCACCCAGGCAAGGCCCTCCCCTCACCCTGGATCAGATGTGAGGAACTTTGTAACCCTCTAGAAACTTCTTTTGGCCGTTTCTAAATGCTGGTTCACACACACGTTAAGTACACTGCCCTCTTCCTTTCTGAGCCATCTCTGGTGGGAGCGGGCAGGTACCACCACTGTGCAAATTCCACTGACCTGGTCCACGGCCCTCCCTGCCGAGGGTGTGAGTTCCAGGCCGGCCCACCCCAGCTCAGCAGCTCTGCCAGGGAAGCACACTGCCTTCTGGTGGGGCCTGTTGAGACCCACCCATGCCTCAGCAGGCTCTGGGTAAACATCGTAGGCTTTAAGTCAGAACTCCCAGCTCCAGCCCTTGGCAAGTCAACTGACTTACGTAGGAGCTTCATCTGTGAAACGGAGACCTTAGGTCATAGAGGGGAAGGCCTCCTCTCCAAGGTGGGGAGCCGGTGCTGAGGCATGGTTGGTTAAGGCACCAGTGAGATACCATGCCAACAGTCCCAGCTTCACTTTTCACCCAGCTCCCTGCTGACGCGCCTGGGGAAGGCAGCAGAGGATGGCTCACGTGCTTGGGCCCCTGCCACCTGCTTGAGCGACCCAGAGGCAGTACCAGGCTTCTGGCTTCTGCCTGGCCCAGCCAACTGAGAAGTGAAATCAGTGGATGAAAGACAGTTCTGTCTCTTCCTTTCTCTGTCTGTGTCTCTTTCTGTCACTCTGCCTTCTAAATCAATCAATCGGTCCTTAAAAAGGGAGGAAAAAAGAAAAGAAGAAAAACAAGGAACCAAAAATCATCACTCAGGTGTGAGTCCAGCCAAATTAACTTCATTCCAGAAAGCCCAGGCCGTCGGCAGTGTCTGCAGACGTTACCTTGGCGCCACCTTCTGGCCAATACACACATGACCATTACTCCTACCACCCGCTGACCTGGGTGGACCCTGTGCTCTGAATTCAGTCCTCTTGAAAGGAATCCACAGGAGTCCAGGCGTTCATCCCCAACCAGCAACAAAAGCCCAGGACCCAGTGCAGTTTCTGCGAGGCCACACTGAAAGCTCCTGGCCACGTTTCACTTAGGACCAGAACATGCTGGGGCTGCCCAGAGGAGCCACCTAAGGGTTGGTGTTGTGGCACAGTGGATTACATTGCCACTTGAGACAACCGCATCCCATATAGGAGTGCCTGGTTCGAGTCCTGGCTGCTCTGCTTCCAACGCAGCTCCCTGCTACTCAGTGCTTGGGCCCCTGCCACCCAAATGCGAGACCAGGATGGAGTTCTGGGCTGGTCCCAGCCCCAGTGATGGTACCAGCAGGTGGAAGATCTCTCTGTCACACTCTCTTTCCAGGATCCACCCTGCAACTTCCAGCCCTCACTGGTTGGGCATCAGGGTTCGTACCCTCCTGGACACTGGCATTCGGGGCCTGAGTCCACACCAAGCATGGTCTCCAGGCCAGAGAAAACACCAGAACAAGTGATGTCAAATGCTCACATAGGCCACCAGCTGTGGATCCAGAAACACGAAGCCAAGAACAGTGGCTCTCAAAAGTGTGATCCCAGCAGCACATGTGAGAAACACCACATTTTGGTCTCTGGCCTGGACCTCCTGAACCGGCCGGCAACACGAGGGGAGGGGCAGCAACCCATCCTTTCACAGACCCTGCAGGTGGTTCCTGTGTAAGCAGGCAGCCTCTGGCCCAGGACGGAGCGTGGCGGGCATGAATGGCACCTCCTCTGGACATGGTCAGGCTCAGCCCGACGGGGGGTAAGGTCAAGATCACAGGCACAGTGCGTGGCAGGTGTGGGGTTTGTCCCTTTCACAGCACCTTCCCACACAGGATCAGCTCGAGCATTTGGGTTGCAGGTGGGGGGTAGGTGAGGTCCTTAAGTCCCCCCCCACCCCGTGCCCCCCACCACACACACAATCACACATGGCCTCTTTGTTCTGATTTCTAAACCAAAGGCCTCCACCTGGTGCCTCCAAATGTTTCTCAGAGCTTCTGGGAAGGCTGCCAAGCCAGGTGCCCCTCGTGCTCCCAGCTGCCCTCAGAGCCTACAGCCAGAAGATCAAGCAGGGCAAGTCCGAAGCAGCCCTTCCCAGGAAAGGCCGCATCCCTGGGTGACCCCCTGCCCCCAGGCCTCGCATGCCACTTAGCACTATACTTCCTCCCCGCCCTCATCTTCAACCTCCCACCCCACCCTCAGGCCTAGCCCCCACCTCCCTGCTCCCACTCCATCTGCTGCTCCTCCTGGCTGGTCGCCCCCTCGGTTGGCACAGCAAGAAAAGAGAAGAGGGTGGTTTATTTTTATCCTGAGTGGCTGCTCGGGGGGACGGGGGCACCATCCGACCGAGGACAGCAGCTCCCATGGAGTGGAAACATCAGAGGGTGGGGGCGGGGACACAGGGTCCCCCCACCCCACCGTCCAGAGGCTGACAACCAAGCACAACCCACCTTCCTGTGTGACCACAGACAGGCCCCTGCACCTCTCTGTTCTCCCACCAACCCCATTTCCACCTCTGTGTGAGTGCAATGCAAACTCTGTCTGCCCCAGAACAGGAAGCTTGGCACAGCGGGGTGAGCCCATGGAGGCCGCCCGAAGGCCCGCAGCCTGGGGACAGAGAGTGTCCTGGAGCCTACACTTCAACAGCACCCAGCACGCCCGCCCCCGGGGTTCGTTTCGTGTTTAATTGCATAAGCACTGTACCGATCCAGCCTCATAGGGAAGGAGTGAAGCATCATGGGAAAGCCACGTTCCCTTGCACCAAACCTCCCACAGACCCCCAGATGTCACCATGCTTGGCGGTGTGAGTTCTCCGTGTCCTCCCAGACCCCCAGGATGCCCCTGTGTCTGGAAGTATCATGGGTATCCCACATGTCCACGGTTCACATTGCTTTGGGCTTGTGTGTCCTTTAACCAAGAGTGTCCACACACATGCCACCCCCACCATACCATGCCACAAGGTTTCTGAACCGAGTTGTATAAATACAGTGCCGTTTTACTGAGCATTCCAGGCCCTGCTGATGGACAGCTAAGTGTCTTCTGGGAGTTTGCCACCACACAGCACAGCAATGAACACTGTGTGTGCATGTGTCCCTGGACACAGGGAAGCTGCCCCTACAGGTCTCTGGGCACCAAAGTGCCGGGACCAGGGCATGGGTGGCTCTTATCACGCTATGCACCATCCCTTCCCTCCCACAAAGTTTGGCTAACAGCAGACTGGGGGATGGGAGGTGTACCATGTTGGGTGAGCTGTTCTCCTTGGCCATGTGTTCTGGTCCATTCAGGGCAAAGGGTCCCAGCCAGGGCCAGCCCCCTGCCCAGGCCTGTCCCTCTAGAGGTCCTGCGTCGGACTGTCACGTTCTGGACAGTCAACCTCACTGATGTTCCTGTACAGCAATGCGGCTTTCCTTGCCATCCTCCTGGGTGACCGGCTGGCACCCATGCAGCGTCTCCTGCACCGGTGCGGCTGTGTTGTGGCCGGGGAGGTCTTCCGTCTCCACGGGATCCTGCCTCTTGGTGTTGATTTCGCCCTGTGGAGCCGAGGCTAAGGTGAGTCCCTGAGCTGCGAGGCTGGGATCCCAGTCCCAGCCCCAGCCCCTTCCCTGCTCAACTCTTGCATCCAGCAGCATTCCTTGGGTATTGCCTGCCCCCTGCTGGCCATACCGAGAGTGACCAAAAGCTTCTACAGTGGGAACTACTGGGTTCCTGGAGTACTCCCAAGACCTCCAGCTGTGGCTCCAATGGGCTGGATGCCAGGAAAGGGTGAAGGACAGCGGTGCTGGGTGAGCATGCAGCGCCAGGGGTAGCACCGGGGACAGGCTGGGGTGGCCAGACCAAAGCAGAGTTTTCACTAGGGCCACTCGGAGGCAGCCCCAGAGGTACCCCAATCCATCTCTCCAACATTCCAAGACTGTCCTGGTTCCAGGAATGACTTACCTTGGAGCCAGACCTCCTGACCACCTTCCCTGGAGAATTGGGGGGAAACAGGATTAGGAAACAGGAGCACTGGCTCCTGCCCTGCTCTTCCCCTCCACACCCGGCACTCACGGATATAAACCGATACCAGCAGCACAGTCATCAGGGCCACCAGCACCACGGGGATTAACAGCAGGCCCCTCTTCCGGTCATGGGAACCTGGAGGAAGTGAGACTTCAGCACGCCCTGCCCCACCCCACCCCTGCCCACACCTCCTAGTGCTGTGCCAGACTCTAAGGTCGCTCCACGCCCACCCTCCCTTGGGAGACATGGCCAACCCATGTCTTTCAGGTGACCAGCACATTTTGCAGATATTTTGAAATCTTTGCCCATATTTCAAAACTGGAAGATTCCGTATTAAAACAAGAAGAGCCAGATCTTTGATATCTTTTACGAAGTGGGAAGAGCAGTGCTCTGTGGCCGGCAGTTGCACCTGCCCACCCTGAGCTGGAACCCAGCTGGTGGCTGCTTCCTTCCTGTACTCTGCATCGCTCCCTGTCCCAGCCTCATTGACGGCTGCACCGTGGCGTTCGTCAGAGATGAGTGGAAGAAGAGAGTGATAATTTGTGCTGGATTTTGAAAATCAGCAGGCAGATCCCATGTGCAGGTTGGTCACCTGTTTTTTAAATCAAGTTTTTCTGGAGCCAGGGCCAGTACGACAATGAAGTGAGTGAAGCAAGGTCGTGCCAATGCAAGGTCTGCATCCCAACTGTATTTAAGATTTTGCAATTTTGCTCACCAAATTTTTTCCTGCATGTTTTTTGAATACCACACTAAGACGGTATTCATCTGAATGACTGCATTTTTGTGGCACTCCTTTCAATGCTTTGTGCCTGAGGTCAAGGGCTCCTCTAGGTTGACTTTGGCACCAGCTCCACCGAGAGGGAAGTCAGGGAAGAGACTGTGGTTTTCTGACTCCTCACCATTCTCGTTCAAGCACGCATCCTGGCCTCATCCCTCTAGCTCTCAAAGCCTCAAGTGCTGGGTGACAGATTGTGCCTCCAAAGCGCAAGGACCCACACCAGCCACTTGCACCAACTTACTGGGAGAGACAGATGTTGCTGCTAACCCATTTTACAGATGAAACTGAGGACTTGCTCCAGCTCCCAAGGTAAGTGGCAGAGCTGGGATGCCACATCCCCAGACTACCTCCTCTCTACCTTCCCTCCCCCCTTGTCCCGTTGCCCCAGTGTGCCTCAGTCTCCCCCTCCAGCTTCCACCTTGTCAGACGGCTGCCAGGGCCCTTTCCACTGGACTCACCACAGCGCACATCAGTCTTGTCGGTCCCCGCCTGTAGCACCACCAGGTTCTGGGCCTCACAGCTGTGCACAAACACATGTGGATCTGTGTGTGTGTATGCACACACACACACACACACACACACACACACACAGGGTTGAGTTTCTCCAACTATAAGATTCCCAGCCCCGGAGGAGGGCAGCAAAGTCAGGTTCACCTGAACACACAGGTGACTCGCGATATCCCAGGCCACTTGTCTCATAGCCACTGTTGTACGGAGCTCGTCAGGTACACAGAACAGCTTACTGCACCTTCCAGGGGAGCCCATAGTGAGTACCAAGTGTGGGACCCAGGCTAACATGAAATGGGGATCATTCCAAGCAGACAGAATCCACACTGGCTGGAACAGAGATGAGTTCATCTTACGACAGTTTCTCACCCTCAGTACCAGTAACATATCAGCGGGATGTTTCTTTGATGCGCAGGTTGTCCTGTGCACACTGTAGGATGCTCAGCACCCCGACCCAGTCCCTACTCCCGAGAGGCCAGTAGTCACCTCCCCAGCTGTGACAACTCAAAGGTATGCTGACGCTGGGGGCTGGTGTCATGTTGCAGCACATTCAGCCATGGCAAATGATGCTGGCATCCCATAGCAGAATGCCGCTTCGGATCCAGCTTCCTGCTGAGACGCCCCTGCCATCCGCATGGGGGACCACACGGAGTCCCTGGATCCTGAACTCTGGCCAGGCTTCACTTTGGCCATTGTGGCCATTTGAGCAGTGAACCAGCAGATGAAAATTCTCTCCCTCTCTCAAATAAATAAAGAAATCTTTAAAGAAAAGAGAAAGCATCCAGACACTGTCCAACGTCCCACAAGGAACAAAACTGCCCCAATTCAAAAGCTCTGGCTTAAGGTCTTCTGGAAAGATCTCCCTGTGGAAGTAAGCTGTGAATGGGCTATGAGGGGGATACAATTCAGAGCGACTCAGCAGGACAGCACCCTGGGAGTTCACGCGAAAGGGTGAGTGGGGGACAGGGATGCCTGGGGTGATGTCAAGGAGCCATAGGTGCCTGTCTCAAGGACCCGGTCCCTGAGCACAGGCAGGGGTCTTCTGCTCAATGCAACCGGGGACTCACAGCAGCCAACTGGCTGACTCCACTAGTGAGAGAATCAACTGGGCAGTGACTTCAGAGGAAATGTGACAGAAGAGTGATGAGGCAGGAGGCACGGCAGAAGGTGCTCAGCTCTGCTCGGATAGGATGTGGCTCAGCACAGGCTGGGCCTAGGAGAAGCGGGGAAGGATGGACAGAGAAGGCCACTACAAAGAAAAAGCTCCTAAAAGGGAGAGCGAGAGTGGGAGAGAGAAAGAGAGAGTTCCTCAGAAGGCACAGCCTTTCATCTCCCATGAGAAAAGCACTCAAGAATTTTCTGCATCTTGGTCTCTGAGATGAAAGTCATTCCCACTTAACACGTAAGAACACCAAGGCCCAGAGGGCTGGGGGACACTTCCGGAGACGCAGGTCAAGTGAAAGGTGGTGCGCTGACTCAGCCGTACCCGCAGGTGCTCCAGGCATCAGTCAGCTTTCTGTGAAGACGGACTGAGCACCTGCACAGGGGAGGGGTCAGTGCCAAAAAAAAAAAAAAGCCAATTCTCTATGTCTGAGGAGTTGGCAGACAGGCAAGAAATATTCAGGGTACACTACTATTTCTGAGTGAAATATGTGTGTGTGTGTGCATGGCTCACAAGGAACAGCAGCCACCTTCTGGGAAACCTGGGAGGCAGTGAGGCAGCAGAGAGAAGCCTGTCACCAAAGGCCCTTCCATGCCTTCTGTCCCATGTGCTGCTCTACCATTGAAAGGTGAATGTTTTAAGCTCAATTGGACTGGGCAGAAGACTGCAGGCAGAGGAGCTGGGCAGTGAACAGGGCTGCGGCTGTGCAATGCAGTGGGAGGCATCATTGGAGGGCCCAAAGCCACGCAAAGGGGCCTGGCTTTTGTCCTGAAGGCAGCAGAGGGCCAGGAGATGTTTACTATGGGAGTATCATATTCCAAAAGAAACTGTGCAAAGCATACGTTGGCAAAAGGAGGGGCAGCTGGCTGGAGGCAGGGAGGAGGCGAAGGCCTGCCCTAGGCCCCAGTGAGGAGATCAAGGTCAGTGAAAGCGATGGAATGAAAGAGGAGAGATCTCACAATACCCAGATGGTTGGGATAGACTGATGTGGAGTAAGGCCCGGGGGTGGGGAGACCTGGGGTCGCCATGGCGATGCTTTCTGCCCAGCAGATGAATCCATCCCAGACACACAGAGCTCGGGTCACCCAGCAGCCACCGGTACATGTGCACCCACACTAGTTGGATATGACAGGCTGGACCCCAGGAGACACTGACCAGAAGGGGCAGCCAAGGGAAGGAGAGCAGAAATGGGAGGGCAGAAGGCCCAGAGCTAAGGCCAGGGCAACATGGAAAGGAAGAAGACAGAGGAAGCTGGGGACGAGCAGGAAGGGCAGTGTTGGCAGCAAAACATAGAGGCCCCTGGGCCCCTCAGAACGATCAAGAAAAACACGCATTTAGTCAATATCAAGGTCGCTCTGGAGGATCTACGCCAGCTCACTCGTGTGTGTGTGTGTGTGTGTGTGTGTGTGTGTGTGTGTATTCAGGTAGGGGAGGGAAAGAAGGAGCTGGAGAGAATGGAGCGGGGCTCCCATCACACACTTGGGGCCTGTATACCTTGTCCAAGGCCGGCAGCTTTCCGAGGCAGACGATATGTTGGAGAAGAAGCCATCGGGGCAGGGTTCGCAGATGGTATCAGAAACCTCTGTGGCTGGGGAGGGGACATGAACCACCATGGTGGGCGAGGGGCCAACCCTCAAGAGAGCCAGGAGACAAGCAGGAGGCGCTCCCATCTCGGGTCTCAGGACTCTCACTCCCTGCAGAAGGACTTCCCCCATTGTCCTGCCAAGGTCGGTGACCCGTGGGCCTGAGAGAGCCCTTGGCCTTCAGCCCCCTCCACCCCCTGCAGGGCTGACTCTAAGAGGGTCACTCACCCTTCTGCTTCACTCCAAAGCCTACAGAACAGGAGGTGTGGGGGACACAGAGCTCACAGGCATGGCTGCTGCAGTGTTTACCATCTTGACAAGCGCAGATGGTGTCTGTCTCCGAGGTGCCCTTGCTCCGTTCTTGGAGCCCTAGGTCTGAGCAGAGATGGGCAGGAAGGTCAGAAGTCCCTTGCTGAGCCCTACCTGGAGCCCCACCCCTCTTCTCCTTCAGTCTCTTTTCCAAGTAGAGATGGTCATCGAATTGCTCAGCCACCAGACCACTGAGTCAGAACAGACCCTGGTTATGTAAAATCAAATCACAGCCAAGTCAACCCTTGGGACCTCCGTGGCACATGTTGGGGTGTCTGGCTTAAGCCCCGGTTACTCTGCTTCCAGTCCAGCTTCCTGCTAATGTATCCTTGGAGGAAACAGATAATGGCCCAATTACTGGGGTCTCTGCCAACCGTGTGGGAGACCCAGAGTGAGCTCCCAGCCCCTGGCTTGGGCCTGGCCCGGGTTTGTGGGCATTTGGAGAGTAAACCAGCAACAGAAACTAACTTTCTCTCTCTCTCTCTCTCTCTCTCTCTCTCTCTCTCTCTCTCTCTCTTTCTCTCTCTCTCTCTCTCAACCCTTCAAAAACACAGCTGCATTGTGCCCACTGTCCGGCCCCTCCACCAGCAGCCCTACGCACTATTGTCGCAGTACTTGTGCTGGTGACAGCGTGGCTCTCTGTTCCAGCTGTCTGAGAATTCGTCCTGCTCACAAGGTGAGCATTTGGTTTGTATGTCCTCCGTGCAGTCAGTGGTCAGTCTCTCTCCTGGAAAACATCAGGAAGCGAGGCAGCTTGGGCCAACTCAGTGAGTCAGCGGCTTATCAGAAATTCATCAGGCCAGGACTGGGGGTGGGATTCCAAGACAAATGCGGAAGATCTGAGAGTGGGGTAGGGGAATTTGGGAGGGGGGTACAGTCCAGTCCAGTGCAGGCAGATTTGCCATGTATGAGGGCGGGGGGTGGGGGCGGAGAACCCAGGCATTCTAGTGGTGGAGTGGGCATGGGAAGTGGGTCCTCTCGTGCTGGCATCTGGGAGGGGAGGGGTCCCACTGCGGGGCTGGAAGGTTGGCAGCTCACCTGGAGGGCACAAATCGCAGCAGTGGTTGTTTACTTGGTACTGGTTTTTTCTACAGGGAGTGGGAGACGCCGGGAAGACCTAACAACAGAATCGTGCCATTAGAAGGGGAACTTGACAACTCTGCCTTCTTTGCCTCCTGGGCTAGGAGGTGGAAGTCAGCCAGGACAGAGGCCACCACCAACATGGAAGCCCAACATGGAAGCCGCAAAGCAGAGCCCGAAGCCTGCCTCGTACCCAGTGTGTCTGTGAGTGTGTCAGAAACAGCCAGCTGATCTGATTCCCAGCACACCCTCTGACCTTCATCATCTTGGCAAAGCACTGACCTTGAAGACCCCCACCGCCGCCCCGGAACTGAACCATCTTGCATTTGGCTTCACTCCTGTATCTCATCGTCCTCCAAACCCAGCAGCGGGAGCTGCCTGGCTCCCACAGCTGCTGGGCCGTCTGGATGGGGCTCTCAGAAGCACTTGACCTTGTCCTCCTGTTTTGCTTCTCTTCCTTCCTCTCCCCAAGCCCCATCATGTGTTCTCCCTCCAGTCCTGCCCCAGCCCTTCCCTTGCGCATTGAGTGCGGCTGGCAGGATGGGACCCAGCCTTCCTGGTTCACACATCAGACCGAGCTCGGGGAAACTGGGCCCCTCGCTCAGGGCCCCCCAGGGGGCTGCATGAGAATCAGGTCTCCACACCCCCTCGCTCCCTAGAATTGGGTCTCCTGGGCCCACTTTTACTACATCCAGGTGTCGCCTAGCTATGAATGACTTCCTGGTGACGTGGAGACCTGATATGACTTCCATGAAAAAAGAATCAGCACCACTTCCCGTAAATCACAGGAAACCCTAAAAATAAACCTGGCGGAGACAAAACGACCGCATCAACCCTCAGACAGATGCTTGGCTTGCTGGAAGGCCCTCCCCGCGAGGCTTGCTTTTGATTTGTTTGTTTGTTTTTAAAAGGGGGGATGATTAGAAAAGAAAAAAAAAACTTTGTGAGGCACTAACTACATTCTAGCTCCAGAAACTTCCTCCTTGAAAATCATATTTTTTTTTTCTTTCATAGAACTATAAAGGGAGCCTGAAGTCATTTGACGTTGGGGAACAACCAGGTCTGAGAGCACATGTTGGAGAGTCGGACAGCTCTAGGCTACCAACTTCGGTAACACTACTTAGTTACTCAGTTTCTCTCAGCCTCAGCTGCATCATCTTTAAAGTGGGAGCGTTGGGCCTGCCCTACAGACTGGGCTGTGCATGACAAGCGTCTGGCCTGGCACGGGGTCTGGAACATGATAGGTGCTTGTTAAACGGCAGCTGTTGGCATCATAGATGGGCATGTCTGCAGTGATGCGCAGCAGCCTGGCTACCTGGCTGGCTCTCCAGGATCCTCCCACCTGAATGGCAGGTGAGCGAACTTCTTAGAGACATGTGCTGTGCCCCTCATGGGAAGGAAGTGAAAAAACGTGTGACTGCCCCTGCTCACACATCCTCAGGCCCTATCCTCAGAAAGAGGACCTGCTACACTGCCCCATCAAGGACACTCCAAGAGCAAGAAAAACTCTTGACCCCACTGTCAGTCACACAAGGGTACCAGCCCTCGCTCAGACACTCTGTCCATCCCCCATGGGAGATGCAGTCATGGGCCTGCCACTATCATCCAGCCCCGGGAGCTTCGGCAAAACGAACACTCCTGGCTGAACCTCCGTCATCCGCTGACCTGTGTAAAGGGTGAGTTGGGGAAAAGCAGCCGGAAAAAAAAGGCGAGGTACTCTGCTCAGAGCCTAACTCCATAGGAAACTTAACAACGGTCCTGCGTACTAGTACAGCCCAGCCTCTGTCTGAAACCAGAGCTGGGCAGACCCTGCAGCTGGAAGCCCTACAGCCCTCCTCCTTCTGCCCGCTTGGGAATCTCCCTCCACTCCGTCTCTCTCCAGCCCCTCCCTCCTCCTGGATCATCACCAGCTTCCAGTGAAAATGAAAGTGCTGGCCCAGGGCAGCTTTCCTCCCCTGCTGCCATCCCCACTACACACACACACACACCCCAGGAGACCTCGTGCTAGAAGCTAAACCCCCTGAGAGCTGGCGGGGGCAGGAGGGGAGGAGGCTAAGCTGGGAGGGCCAGGTAGAGCGGGGACTCCCGGCCTTCAAAATGAGGAACTACAAAATGACGTTGAAGCACCAAGTGAGTCAAGTGCAGGCTGCTGAAAATCCCGGAGATGTGCTTGGCTAAGTCCCGGCCCTGCCAGTGCCCAGAGAAACCCGTGCTCATCTCCTGAACCTCGCTTGGGTCCCATGAACTGTTTCTCTCCCCTGGCACACCATCTTAACTTGGGGAGGCAGAGGCATAGCCTTGGAAACCCCTTCTAGGGTGGACCACCTAGGATGGGGAGCAGCATGGGTTAGCGATGGGGCCCTGATAGCATGTCACTCCATACCCGTCACTGGCTCTCACCACGGAGCCTGGAAGGAGGCAGCTCCAGCCGGCAAGGACACGGTAACCACAGTGGGAAAAGGGATGGGATGGGCCAGGGATGGGCCAGGAAAGAGCCAGACCCGCCCCTTCCCGCCCTCCGGAGTCCTCCCAAGCTTCTGCGATCCGGCCCCCAGCCTGCTGGCCACGGAAAGGCGTCAGAGTCCCCAAACTCCCAACTTGCCCATACCCTCCTGGCACGTGTGTCTCCTCAGCCTGGGGACAGAGGAGCCGCCCACTCCAGCCGACCAGCACCGTGGGGCGTCTCGCCCACCTTCCACCCACCCTCCCATCCCGCCAAAGACGGCCCATGCTCCCCAAGTCTGGCCTCTCTGCCCTTCCCACTCCCGACCCTGCAAACCCAAACCCCTGTACGGAGAGGGCAGAAACCCAACTCACGGTGGACAGCAAGCAGCCCCAGAGGACACACTGCAAAGGCAACCGAAGCATGGCGGGTGAGAGCCAGGCGGCGGGAGCCCGGGCAGCCCGGGCGAGGCCCCTAGTAACTCTGCTGCCCGAGGCCGGGGCGCCGCCCAGGAACGGGGCGGGGTCTCCCGGGGCCAATCGCGGTCCGCCCGTCGAGGAGGGCGGCATCCCTGGCCGTCTGGGACTCGGGCTTTTCCCCAGGACATTCCCCCTGGGAGTTTAGGGACGCGCACGGCTGAGAAAGGGAGGCAGATGCAGTCCCCGAGGGAGCTCTTCCTCCCCCTCCCCTCCAGTCCTGTGGCCGCCAAGACCCTCAAAGGCGAAGTGGGGACGTACCAGGAGCCAGTCCGCTTCCAGGGCCTCGAGAAGAGGGAGAGAGGACCCCTGCTTGACCCCCCGCTGTTCTCTCACCAGCTGCCTCCGGGAATCCCAGCAGAACCGAAACGTCCCCACCTCGGACAGAGGCCTGAGGAAGTCCCCACCACCACGGCGACCCCAGAAAACGGGAAGGCCGCAGCTGGAGCGGGCGGTGGAGGGAACCGTTTCAAGGAAAAGAGTTTGCCAATCCAGTTTCACTCTCCTGCAAGGGAAAGCCCCTCGTGTGGGAGCAGCGTCCATCCAGCAGGGCGTCCCGCCTGGCATCCTGGCCGACAGACTGCTTCCTCTCACCCAGCTCCTGGAAGTGAGCCAGCCAGAAGGCTTATCCAGAGCAGCGCTGGTTTGAGTCCCGCTTCCTTCCAGCTCCCTGGGAAAGCGCCTGGGAAAGCCGCAGAAGGCGGCTCAAGTATGGAGACTTCTCCCACCCACTCCAGACGGAGCTCCAGGCTCCTGGTTTGGGCCTGGCCAGCCTTGGCTGTTGCATCCATTTAGAGAAGTGAACCAGAAGATGGAAGATTTTGCTGTCACTCTCAAATAATAAAATGAAATCTTAAAAAAAAAAAAAGAAAGAAAGAAAGAAAGAAAAGAAAAATAGACCAAATCTAATTTCTGTGGGCTCACAGACACTAAGAATGTTAGAGGATTAGGGTCCCTGCTCCCCCCGACCCCCACCCCTCGCACCCGTATTCTCCCAGCCTCCTCCCTCATGGCGCTCTGAACAAGCGTTCATTCCTGGGGGGCACTTGGATTCTGGTCCAAGTCAAAGTCTAAAGAATGTGTTCCCCTGTGCCTCCATTGTCCCCGAAGGAAACCAGAGACCCCTGAAGTAGACAGTGATTGGGGTGATGGCGGGCAGGCCAAGAGGACAGACTGCACAGATAGGAAGGTGGGGGTGGGGGTTGTGCTGCCAGAGGTACGCTTGTGGCGCCAGTGGGGACTGCCCCAGGAATCCATCCCCTCTCCTTGTCACCTCCGCTACTGTCTGAATTCAGGGGCATATTGTCTGACCCCTGACCGTTCCAACAGCCTGTTCACGCCACAAGCACCTGCTGAGCTCCTGCCACTGCCAGGCCCCCCTTCACCCTAGAGCTGTTCCTCAGTGAACTCCAGATCTGACCCAACTGGGGTGCTTTTTCTTTTTTTGAACACCTCTTTGGGTATCCCTATGCTTTCAGAATTCTCCAAATTCCTTATCCTGGCACGGCAAGGTGGCAGGCCTTCCCAACCCTGCCCCGGCCTCTCTTACCACACTCACTTCCATCACAACCACTTACACATATTGGCTTCAGGGAGCTGGATGGGAAATGGAGCTGCCAGGATTAGAACCGCACGCATTTGGGATCCCGACGTGTTCAAGGCGAAGACTTTAGCTGCTAGGCCATCGCGCCAGGCCCTGTCTCTCCTTCTGTATGTAAATCTGTCTTAAAAAAAAAAAAAAAAAAAGACCTCGTTCCCTGGTGATGCAATTGGAAGGTGGTGGAACCTCTGGATGAGCCTAGTAGATTCTGAGATCGTTGCGGACCTGTCCTTGGGAGGCACTGGCTTGTTTTGGTCTTTAACAATGTCTGTATATGAATGGCAGAGAAAGAGAGAGAGAGAGAGAGAGAGAGAGAGAGAGAATGTTCCAAGTGATCACAACAGCTACAGCTGATTCAGGCCAAAGCCAGGAGTCCAGAACTCCATCCAGGTCTTCCACGTGGGTGACAGGGTCTCAAGCTTGGAGCGTCTTCTGCTGCTTTCCCAGGCACATAGCAGGGAGCTGGATGAGAAGCGGAGCATCCAGGACTCAAACCGTCATTTGCATTGCATGCAGCAGCTTAGTTCACTGCACCCCAATGCTAGCCCCTGGAAGGTAGTTCTCCCAAGAGGGTTGAGATTCTAAGAGCTGGAGGCTGGACTCGGCTGTGCTCTGCATCCTGGCGTGTGCCCTCTCTCTCGCTCGCTCTCTCTCTCACACACACACACGCACACACAATGCCATTGCCACTTGCCACCCTGACCAGAGAGCTGACAGGTCTGCCTGATCTTGAACTTGAACTGCCTCAGCTTCTTTCCTGCGGTGATGAAAAGCACAATGAGTGAATGGACCCCATACCTGCTCATCATCTCAGCCCCACCGTGAGAAGAAAGTAGTGCCAGGGGGTGCAAGCTGTTGGTCTCCACAGACCTCAAGCCCTGGCAGCCCCATGGACAGAGTGATGGAAGTCAGATTCCAAAAGATCAGAAACACACAAAACCAGGGCCCCCAGGGAACTTAAGGAAAGCCACCCAAGCATGGCCCAGGACAAAGAGAGGATGAAAAGATCTCTTCCTTTTTTAACCCACTTTGAAAATGCCAGCAGAGTTTTAATTCCTTGGGGAGGGAGGCGTTCCTATAATAACTTCAGCCCTTCCTTAGTCTTTATTTACTTGATTCCAAAATTGGGCCCTTCACAAAGTGCCTGGGGAAGCAAAGTACACAGAATTAAAACATTAATTATATTACATAAAACATATCATAGCGGCAATTAAGGCAGCTTAAATTAATGTGTGAGAGAATAAATAGTAGCCTTCAGATTGGCCCATGGGGTGAAGACCAGATAAGATAAAGGGAAGATATTTTAGTCCCGGCGTAGCTTGAAGAAGCCTGTGCTGGCGGGCACAGACCCAGAGAAGACACGGAATCCTTGTGCGCTGAGCGGAGCTTGGCAGAGTGAGGGAAGAAACGGGGTTATGTAGGGAGGCTTGAGGAGGGCGAAAAAGAGTCCCACCTCGGACAGAAGCTCTGCAGGTTCAACGCCGGGAGGATGGCAGGGAGTAGACAAAGGAGGAAGGACCCAGGATTTCTGAAAACCCAGCAGAAATGGCTTTCAGTGATGTCTGAGCAACGAAGACATGAGTGGGATGTATGCCTGGAAGTTGAGTGCCCAGAGTACAGGTTCAAGTCCTGGTTACTCCACTCCCCTTCCAGTTCCCTGCTAATGAGCCAGAGAAAGCAACAGAGAATGGTCCCTGCACCCATGTGGGCGACCTGGAAGAAGCTGCTGGCTCCTGGCTTCAGACCAGCCCAGCTCTGGCTGTTGCAGCTATTTGGGGAATGAACCAACGTATGACAGATTCTCTCTGCCTCTCCTTCTTTCTGTGAAACTTTACCCTAACAGGGTGCCCAGAGTTGCCAGTCTCTAGTGACGAGAGAGTTCTAGCTAAGTCTGACTGCAGTATCCCTCTCCACCATCCCCTCCCTGGGTTCGAAGTGACTCCCCAGGCCCTCACTCCTGAGGCTCACAAGGATGCCAAGTCATGGGTTTCTTGGCCTTCAGCCTTGCCTTTGACCCTCCAGCCCACTTCCCAGATGATCTGTGTACTCTCTCCTAACCAGAGAAACCCTTTTTCTCACCCACTCTCCCTTCATCTCACCCTGGAAGACCCCGCTCTCCTCCTTGGCAGCCCAGCCTAGCTGTGTACACCTACTGCCTGAGACCCTCTGAGAACATAAGGACCATGGCTGCTTCCCTGAGCAGGACTCCAGCTGGACCACACGATGTTCAGCTGTCCTGTTTATTTGTGGAATCGGTGTGTTGAGCTGACTCAACTTGCTGGAGGGGGAGCTGCTGGGGGGCGGTGCTGTATGATAATATGTATGATAATAAAGCTTCCTCCCCCGGCTCAGTCTCCTCCTCCCCATCCCTTACATGCAGATTGCCTTGCTTTTGGCTCTCTTTCTGTTGCTAAACCCCCATCCCTTGAAGCTTGAACCACAAACTCAATTTAAATCTCATTCTGTCTTCTGTCTTATTCAGCCCAGGGTGGACTCGAGCCAGGCTCCCATTTGCTACAAGTAAAAGGTGGAGTGGGGGAAGGGGAAGAGCCTGGTTGGGAGATATAGCCAAGCACCCTCCCCTGGTTCTGTCCAGTCCCAGCAAGGACCCCAGTTCTCCGGCTCACTGCGTACCTAGTCTCCCAGAGGGCACATGAGCAGGTGTACTGGAGTGTCTGGCCTGTGTGAATCTCTGTTGGTGGCATCTGGCTGGGGCTTGAGTTCTCTTATTTCTCCCTGTAAGTCCTGCCCCTAAAGGGATGGATCCTCTGGGCCAGCTTGGGTGGGTGGGGCAGCCGAGAGTGCTGCCACCTGGTTAATCATGGCAGCATCCACCTGACCGCAGGAACTCACACATCCTGGCCAGCCTCTCCACAAGGCTCACTCTGCCTAACTGTTCTCCCTCCTGCCTGACATCAAGTGAATTCCTGATTGGGGAACAGCATCCCAGCAGTCCCTTTTTTGCAGTCACCTGTCAGTCTCCACGTGAGGCTCCCTTGGAAGTCCCCTCTGCTAGCTGGAAGACAAGGGAATTGCCCCCAGCTGGATACATTGCGCGGCTCAACGAAACCCAGATCTCATCCTGCTGGGACGTTTTACACAGTCGGGGAAGAGGAAACGAGTTTTGGTGAGTGGGCTTAGGGCCAGTTCTGTTTCTTTCGGTAAACCCTTGAGAGAAAGTGTCTGGTCCCTTAGTATACTGGATACATGGGGTCTGCTTGCTCTGGCTATGGGTTGTACTGCTGATTCCTTCGTTTTTCTTTTTTTTTTTTTTTTCTTAGATTTTTTTTTTCTTAGATTTTACAGAGAGAAGAAGCCAGAGTAAAATCTCCCATTTGTTGATTCACTCCCCAAGTGGCTGCCTTGGCTGGAACTGGGCCGATCGAAAGCCAAA